AAATTAGAGAGTGTGTTCACTTGTTGAATTTCGTATAAAACTTTTAATGCGCTTTAAAGCTGAAAAACTTCGCTCAACTGACGCACTTGTGGCTGGGATGGTTAGTACTAATTCACAAAACTTGACGACTTCACAAAGAAACTTATTTAAACCAGTTGTTATAAGAAAATGTAACACATTGATGGGCGTCTTTTTATCACTAATTTCAGTTGTTTCATAAACAACACTTAACTAGGACTTTAATGCTGGAATATCTAAAAAATTTCCATAATTTAATTTTAGTGAATTAAAAGCTTTCGATGGAAATTTTGATGAATCGTAGTTACTAATATTAAAATTGCACAATTCAACAAATTTTATATCGTTAAAGTTTTGAAATCGAGAATTCATTTGTTGTAGAATATTATCAAAAATGTCTGCGTATAATCGACAATAGGAGGTCTCTCTGTCGCCGACATTATCAATTCTAATTCTCTTTCTTTCAGGTTCTTAGCCAATGTTTTGAGTCTTATTCCAAAAGTGTTCAAACTGATCTCGTTTTTTATTCATTTTATTTTTAAAATCATCAGTTTGTTTAATGCAAAAGCCAATGTCATTTGACTTTGTAAAATGTCGAATAAAATGTCAGTAAAACGGAAAATCTCTGCAAAAATGTTGAGCAAAAAATTGAAATCAAAGTTTTGTTTGAGCCTATGCAAATACCCTTTAGCAGTAGTAACAATTTTAGCATCCCATGTTTCTTTATTATCTCAAACGTCTTGAAAAAAGTTTATCAAAGAATCACGGTATTGAAACACTGTTTGCACTAAACGTCCATTGTAGTTCCATCGCGTCGGAGCAACTTTTGGAAACATTTTTTGAACGTGAACGTCCAAAGCGCGAGTTCTTTTCGATGACTTTGAAAAGAAGGAAGCCAAACCACTAAGCGTCGAAAAGAAAACATTGCAATCTTTAATATTATCCAGCTTCGCGATAAAACCAAATTAAGTCTATGTGCTATACAGTGAACGAAAATTGCATGTTTAAACTGTTCTTTCACTTTAGCTTGAAGGCCTCCTAAATGGCCAGCCATTTCGGCAGCACCATCGTAGCTCTGGGCAACAAGGTAAGAACCACGTTCTAAACTTGAAATAATGTCACAAACAATTTTAAACAATGCATCTGCAGTTCGTTCGCTAGTGACGTCCAAAAATCCTAAGAATCGCTCTTGAGGAATGTCATCCAATACATATCGTACAACAATGGATAATTGACTTAAGTTTGCTACATCTGTGGTTTCATCAAGCGCAATTAATACGAAAGGTGCTTTTTTAATTAAACTTTCAATGTGATCCATCACAACGTCGGCAGTGCATTTAATTAAATCATTTTGGATTCTGTTAGAGGTACCTCGGAAAGTCGTCGAATCAATAAAATGATTTTTTAGGGTATCATCGTATTTTGCTAAAAAACTTAGAAGGTCCATGTAATTTCCTCGATTGGCGGATCCACTTGCTTCATTGTGACCCCTAAAACTTAGTTCATGCTCTCCCAGGAAACAAGTTACATCTATTAATCATTGTAAGACGTCCCTATTTTTTTACCCTTTCATTGTGAATTTTGTTGCTTATTTTTAAATGATTGTCCAAAATATGTTCAATGCGATAGGTCCCGAATGTTTTTTCTTTAATTGTAGTACTTATATGAGATTTGCTATTTACGTGTCGTTTTACACTTTTGTGAAAATTATTCAAGTCTGTAATACCGACTGAGTTCCAATGTGTTTCTTCGACTATATTAAAAAGTAGGCAAGGCCAGCAAAACAATTTCTTCAAAGTTTTGCAGCCGGTTAACCATTCATACTTTTCATGTTAAAATGCGTGAAAATGCCTGGTAAATTTCTTTGCTGATTTTTCTACTTTCGTCTCTAAATTGATAGGATCCTTTAGTCCGTTTTCTGTTCAAAATTTCTACTTGAAAATCCTTTTTTCAATAAAGTGCACACAATACAGACACAATTTACCACATTAATATTGTTCACAGGCACAGTGCATAGTTCCTCCATTTTACAAAAAGAAAAACAAACCGAAATCTACCTAAAATCTAAGATTTTCCTCTCACGTCGATTCGCGGTGCCAATTGCAATATGCGTAAGGCGACGTAATAATCGCTGCCTCTCGACCGTATTTCACGTGCCCAAACAGACTGACACTTTCGCTGCAAAGCAGGGTCAATAACACTAAGCGAAATCACTTGCAAGATGAACCGGTTGATTCAAGACGCGCTTCCGCCGACGAACCAGTGTGTACGTTTACACAATTAATTTTCTCATGGGTGGTGCGTGCGTTTACACACCAATGAATTGTTAGTACATTTACGAAGTTTACGTAATGTTTCAGAGAAAATATAGTACCTAATTTAATATTAATTTCTATGCATTGTAAACTTAAAAATATTTATTTTTAAATTTCAAAATGTAGGGAAGCGGTGCTTCCCCCGCTTCCATGGACCGCACGCCCCTGATGAGCTAATATTTGGTAAAAAGTGCAATATACCAACAAACATTTCTTGCAGCATAGATCCGTTGTACACTTTTGAAAATTATCCACCTGAATTAAAATATCGGCTACAGCAAGCATGGAAAGATACTCATAAAAATTTATTAGTGTCAAAGAACAAACGGAAATTAATATATGATAAGAAAACTAAAAGTATAAATTATAAGGTAGGAGATAAAGTACTTGTAAAAAATGAAACTGGTAATAAAAGGGAACCTTTGTTTTTGGGGCCATATAAAATTATAAGAGAATAATCTCCTAATATTGCTTTAGAAAAAGAAGGAAATGAAAAGTTAGTTCATAAAAATAGAGTTAAGTTATATTATAATTAAAAAAAAAATGTAATTTAGGAAATTAAATTTTTTTAAAATCCTCGCGGAAGATGTAATGCCGGCCTTAGTTATTTAGTTTAATATAGGCTTAAGTATAATAAGTATATAATAAGTATAAAATAAAGACAAGACATATATTCGATTCGACTTTGGTTTCATTACAATATGTAAGATGAGAAGGTCCTTTGTCCTAACATTACAGGTCTGTTCCAACAACGATGCAGAAATAAATCACTGGCTATTACACAATTTTGAGGTCTCAATAATCTACTGATCAGAATCCTGATGTCAGTAACTCATTTCTAACCATTGTTGGAACAGACCTAAAGTAAATCGAAACCACTTAAAAACAAGTGCAGCATTTAAACTCGAGCATATTTTTTTTCCTATCAAAATTTTTAATTACTTTATATTTTGTTCTAGGTATATTAAAATTTAAAAGTTTTTACTCACTGTTCTTTTAATGGCAGATTTTTTCACCTCTGACTAAAGTTACGCGTAAATATAATCTATAGCCTAATCAGCAAGTAGTTACTTTCAACTTTATTAAGAGGTAAAAAACCTGGCCCTTAATCTTAATATAATTGTGGAGGATGGAGACTACATTCGCTAGGGATTGAGGAATAACGAAGAAAACTGTATAAGTTCTATGTACATAAAGATAGAACCATGTGAATAACTTTAGTGCTTCGATAACACAACATATAGTAGCCTGTAACATTGATAATTAACAGATGAATGTATATTGGACACAAAAACAAATTAATATATTCTACCAATCTCATTTTTTCCAAAAAGTGCAGTTACAACCTTGTTATTCTGTGAGGAGATGCATTTATTACTGATATTAATAATTTGGGGAATTTCTAACACACTTTCCTGCATTTTTTGATCTACAGGAGGACAAGAGACTCCCATTTATGAATTTTCATTAAACAATTCTTATTATTTTGTTATTATATACTAAAAAACAGTAATTAACAATGCACGTGTTGTTACAAACCGACTACGGCTACTATACTGATTTAACTACTTGTTATTGGTTGAAAGTGACTTTGCTACTTTTGTTATGACAAATCTGGAGATTGCTGTTTTTGATACAAACTTACAACTTTGCTGAATGGTTTTAACGGCTTATTTCTGTTTTTGTTATAAAATAAGATCTAATATTTTAATAAACAAACATTCCAAACCGGTACGACACAAAAAGCTTCAACCGGAAAATTTGGAGTTTGCTGCTTTTGATATTAGACCCCTGGATTGACAACTCACCACCTTGATAAAATTAACATTGAAAATAAAAAAATAATATACTGAATGTTAAAATGTCGTTGACTTTTTTCAACACGAATAAAAAAAAATACGTTAGAAACTAGGCATTCCAACGACCTGTCAAACAATAGGTGCCAGTGGGAAATTCTTGTATATTTAAGGGGGTAGCGACATAGTCTTGCAACTTGGACGCTATTTTTATTCGAAGTAGTACTCGCCAAGCCTGCCAATTTATGAAGAAATGTATAGGTGGGTTTTTTAAATATTATTTTTATTATGTTTGACATAAAATATTTAAATGTAATCCATTATTCATGATTTTACGTAAAGTAGATAGAATACACCATATGTCGCCACCCTTAGATATACCAAACCTGCCCACTGGTAATTCATTTGTTTGGAATGCCTAACTGTCACAAAGATACCGTCACACTTTCAATAACGTCAAAAATTCCAAAGCCAACAAAATAAGTTAGTGATTATGTGCGTCAAACACGTACAAAATTCTAAACGTCAAAAATTCCAAAGCCTCCCAAACATTAAATTTAATAATTGCGGAGGATATTGTTCGAACATTTAAATGGTCAGTAGAAACATCAACAACTATTAAATTTTAGTAATTTTTAAAAAATAGATGTTCTTCTTCAACCTTAAGTTTACTAATATATAACGGAAATTAAATTATAAAAAGGCCGAACATATAGTGGTTAGGGCTCGTATAATTATAGTTCAATGGAACGAGTCTAAATCGCATCATTAAACTTTGGCGTTCATATTTGGGTTTCGTGAACTGTACCTACCAAATTAATTGAAGATTTTTGGACTTGAAAAGTAATAAATTACGGCATTTTTTTTTTAGAACAAAAAGGAAAGAGAAGAAACAATAGTACCGATTCCTCGTATTAAGAATTTCAGAAAGAAACTATCGACAATGGAGGGTATCAAAAATATGTCCGATTTAATAAAAGAATTCCAGAAGTTCGATGAAATCATGGAGATGCACTATTTGGCTTGCGCTCCTAAGAAAGTGCAAGAATACGCATTAGACGAATGCTTTTTGTGCAAACCAGAAATTATAATGTTTAATGTTAGTTGAATTATCTCTAAACCCTTTGTAGGCACTCCCCATCGATATTACGATGTTCTCTAGTACTACATATACAGGATATCCCAAAATTACTGGGTCATAGAGTTACCACGTCAAAATAAATATATTGGACCTAATTTATTTATAACTAAAATGTATCGTTTGTCCGTGAGAAGAGTTCAAATTTTACTTAAAAAAGCACATTTTTGAACGCTGTTCAGAATTGCGTGAAACAAATTTAATGAAATTTGGCAAAAGTACTTACATTTTAGAAGGTAACTCTACTTTCAGTAATCAAAGATACCCAATGAAAAAGGTAAAAGGGATAAAATCACCCTCACCCTTCAGTATTTTTTTTTTATTTTCTTAGTGGAGACAGTACGGTTCTAAGACTTTTTTTAACGAGAATACTTATCTTCTTAATTTTTTCACTCTTGTAAAAACTCCGTATTTCGCATAGTTTTGATGAAAAAATGTTTATTCAAACACTGATAATTTGCGTGATAATTTGCGTCGAAACATGTTCTTCATACACGACAGTGCACCACCTCATTTAGCACGTGCCGTAAGAGAATTTATTGCCACCCGTAAGAATATAAAAAAAAAATACCACCAGGTACAATTTCCTTTGGATTTTTTGATTACTGACAGTAGGATAATTCTCTAAAATGTTCTTTTGGCAAATTTCAGCATTACATCCAATATGCAGTCAGTATTCAAAGTATTCATTCCTAATTTCCATACAACTCCTAGAGACGTCGCTGTAACCTGCACTCTCTTAGTCGATAAAGAAATTCTCCTAAAAAATCATGACGTTAGCCTCAAGCTCGCTCGCCCGCTTCATTGGCTACTTTTTAAACAGTCAACGAGACCACACGAATTCCCATGATGGAAAGGGACGCTGTGCCCGCCATTATATAACATAAATTAATTCTTAAGCAACATGGCTTAAGCTAATGTGTTTCCGAATTTTTTTTTTTATAAATAATGTAAAAAGTGTATGTTCATAAGTTAGTTAGTGTTAAATCAACTCATTTCATTCGTGTTTTAAAATAAGTGTTCAGCTAGAGGTAGTCTTTTTATCCAGGTAGCTACATCTCCCAGACCTTATGGGTCACTTAGGTATTTGAAACTTTCTTTATTGATACAGTCCACGAATAGTCACGGGTCAAATAGGTACTTCGAAATATGTAACGTGCGAAATGGGCTCAAATAAGTATCAGTTAGAGTACTTAGACTGTAGAAAATTAAGAGAGTCATGGTATAAAATAAAAGACATTGATAATAACAGTTGGTTTTGTGATACTTGCAAGCTGATAGTGAAAAGTAAGGTTAAGGATCTTAAGTATATTCAAACTATGGAAGAGTGTTCAAAAGAATTAATTAAAAACACAAATAAGCTGACAGCACTCGTGCATAATACAGACAATTATCCCGAATTAAATACAGAAAAGAAACAACTGGCATACAGTGATATAATTAAAAATCTGATGTGTCCAACACATGACTTTCCTATCTAGTTATTATAGGCTTTTTCTGGTTATTTTGTACAACCTATTACAGCACCTCTATAAATGTTTAGAGGATAAACTAAATATATACATTTTCCACATACATCTACCTCGAAACATTTTTCTGTAGATATTCATTGAAAACGAAAATACTGAAAAATTTAAATTTAGCACTTTTCCTAAAAATTTTCCATTACGGTCCATTTTAGAAAAATCATATATAAACAAAAATTATAGAGATCGATATCACAAACAACTTTTAGTTCAACAATTTTCATAAAAATCAGAATTTAGCACATTTTGTCAAATTTCTCGAATACGGACCATTTCAGGAAATTTTGACATAAAGCAAAAATTATCGATAATAATATTAGAAGTAACTTTTATTTGAACAATTTTCTTCTCCAAACATAAATAACAGATTTATTCCATAAAATATAAAAACGTCCTCCCATAAAGTACCCCCCAGATGTTCCGACTTTGTCCAAAATCTAATCATTTCACGTCAGGTCGAAATAAAAATTAAGTTTAAAATTTAATGTTTTTCTTTATCCGTTTTCGAGTTTTCTTCAAAATTCAAAATATACACATTTTCTCAAATATCTCGAATACAGTCCATTTTAGAGAAATTATGTATAGGATAAAAATTATAGAAAATTATATTACAAACAACTTCTATTTAAACAATTTTTATAAAAAATATTTTTTTTACATTTTGTCAAATTTCTCGAATACGGACCATTTAAGAAAAATTTTGTATAGAACAAAAATTATAGATAATAATATTAGAAGTAACTTTTATTTGAAGAATTTTCTTCTCCAAACGTAAATGACAGATATATTCCATAAAATATAAAAATGACCCCCCAGATGTTCCGACTCCGCCCAAAAACTAATCAGTTCATTGGACGCTGGAATAAAGCTTAACTTTAAAATTTCGTGTTTTTCTGTGTATCGGTTCATTAGTTATGGTGGATACAGACACACACACACAGACATCATTGCGAAAATAGTCAAAACGGATTCAGGGGACCTCAAAACGTAAAAATCCGTCGAAAACTCGAGGTCGAAAAAAAATCATGATTCCTATACTTTCCTTATATCTGTATACAGATAGGAAAGTAAAAATAATAAAAAGGCGCTGTCTATTATCATTAAACCGAAATCAAATTAAAGTAGTTCTAAAACAAAAAGTGATCTGGAGCAAAAAATCAGTCTAAGTGAGTTGGCTGTGTCTGTAAATAAAATTAAACCTGTTTCACAAGGAAGTATTGTGTAGTTCAATGCAATGATAATGAATTCTTAAAAAAATTGAATAACAAAGCGGTCACTGAACTTGGAAAGAAATATGAAATTAAAATCCCAAAACAAATAAATCCAAAAGTGCTAATAGTAATAATTAAGTAAAAGTTGTGCGGAAATATAAACCTAAAAATAAGATTGCATTTAACGTAGTTTTATAAATTACCCTTAATCTGTTTGGTTCCATTTGTGGCCACAAAATATATGTGGACTGGGATAGATATGTCTATGTAGATGTTTTAAGATTTTTTAAATGTTGTCAATACGGTCATAAAGCTAAAAATTGTAAACATAAAGACAGAATTTCTCCTATATGTAGCGAAGTACATCAGAAAGATATCCAGTGTCCAGTCCAAAAATTCGAGTGTTCTAATTATTGTAAATATGTATCCAATATTCTTAAGGTTCCTAAAGTATCTTTTTTTTCTCCTGGGCTCGTCTGACTATGTCTCCGAATAACACTGAAGCCTATTGGCTTATTGTGTTTTACCCTATGTTAGTTCATAGCACCCACTCTGTCACCTTTGTACCTTGTACAAGTTTGTACAAATCCTTGGGTGAGTGGGTTCTATACGTTGTTGGATCAACCTGGGGCTGTCCAAAAAGAGCCTGTCTTGCGATCTAGAGCTTTGCATTCGCACCGTATGTGTTTGGCCGTTTCTGGTTTCTTGTGATATAGTCGGCACATGAGTTCCCCATTGTACATGCCAATTTTGTTCAAATGTCGCTTTACTGGGGCGTGCCCAATCATGAACCCTGTTATCACGTTCAACTTCCTATTCATAAAGAGTAGTTCTCCAGTTCTTTTGGGACATGGTCTGCCTATGAAGGCTTTTCCATGTGCCTGTTTCGCGGTGCTTCCCCAATAGTTGATATGTTGTTCCCGAATCCAGTCGTTTATGAAACCTCGGACTGTACTTTTTGGTACTCCTGGTACCATAGTTTTACTCTATTTCGGTCTGCCAGTGTTCTTAGTTCTTCGATGCATTCCCATACCAGCCTCGACGTAACTTTCTGACTCGATATGGCCTTAAGTGTCGCTTGGGTGTCTGACATTATTTGAATATGCTGATTTTCGACAGCTCTTTCATTGTTCGTTTTTGCACATTGCAAAATTGCGTATACCTCGGCCTGAAATACCGAGATAGCATAGCTAAAGTATCTTATAATCATACTAAAAAATTTTTTGACAAAACTTGTGAAGCCTACAAACGAGCCATTGAAAGAACGAAATCCAGAACTGTTTATAATTCTTAGCAACCACAAAGAAAAAGATGTAAAAAATCGAAATTAAACATGTACTACCAAAACGTTGGTGGTTTGCGTACCAAGCTAGTGCAATTACATCAGATTGTTTCATGTACCAATTACAGTATAATTATATTAGTCGAGACTTGGTTGAATAAAAATTTTACAGATGCCGAATTAGGTCTAACAGGATATAATATATTTAGGACTGATAGAGATGACACCAATAGTGAAAAAGAGAGAGGCGGGGGCGTTTTGATAGCCACTAAAAAGGAACTAAATGTCAAACAGTTAATATTACCTCCTAACAATTTGGAACAAACTTTCATTTCTTTAAAATATGGCATCCAAAATTTTGTATTTAGAAGCGTTTATATACCTACCTCTAGCATCAGATCTAAACGATACCCTAAATGTTAATTGCCTTCTTAATTCTCCAGCTATTCTACTCTGCGATGCTTTAAATTTTTTAAATTTTTATCAATTCAATAATATTCCAAATAGTAGGAATACCTTTCTTGATCTAATTTTTTCTAATGATAATACAATTTAGGTATTTGAGTCAGCTGATTTTTATTTGACGACTCCTGTGAAGAATATTTCATTGACTTTAAAACTGGAAATTATGAGAATATTAACTTTTATTTTGCAAGTGTAGACTGGGATGATCTTTTCTATAATAAAAACGTTAATGATTCAGTAACAGCTTTCTATAACGTCCTATATGAGATAATTAATGCATTAATTTCTATAAAAAGATTTAAAACTTCAACATTTCCTGTGTGGTACAATACAGAATTTAAACATGTTATTTATGAAAAAAAAATTGCCCACAAACGTGATAAACAATACGGTAACAATGACGATTTTGTTATTTTCTCGGAAATTAGGAATCGTAAGCAACTAAGCAGTCAGTTTTTATTTAATTTAATTATTAAAATTAATTCTGATGCCTTGGTAGGATTCCCCACTCCACCATTCACTGTTGAGTACTAATTAATAGTGCTGTTCCTGAAGTGGCGCTGGGAAACAGTAACAAAGCCTACACAGAACACACATGATTGAGAATTTAAACACAAACTGAGACTGGCATATTAGGTTTATACACCTAGGCCATAAATCGAAAAAAAAAGCAGTCAGTTGTATGAAAACTATGTTAAACAAACTGAAATTAATATAAAAAATAATCCCAGATCTTTTGGAAATATATTAATGACAAGAAAAAATCTTACAACTTACCTTCTATTATGACATATAGTAATTTAATAAGTAACAACAATCAAGAAATCGTTAATTTATTTTCTGCCTTTTTTTCTACGGTATTCGCTCCGTGCGAAGTCATGGAAAGGGAAGCAAAAGCGATACTAGCGCTAGCTGCGGATAATTCGTGCATTTTAGGGCGATATTTTGTAATTTTGGCATATCAAATACACGTATACATTTTAATTTTTTTCAAAAAAAATAGGTAAAAATAATACAATAAGCAACCGGATTTGCTGTGTTGAAAATTGTACAAATACTAAAAAAAAACATTGAAACTTATATAAAAAATTTCAGTAGCAAAGTGTAAATTAAATCAAAGAGATAAATGGATAGGTGTACAATAAGAAAAAAAATTACCTTAATTTTTGTAATAATAACAGTAATGCTGGAAATAGTAGACATCAGAAACTTGAAAGGTTTTAAATAAACAATAAATTATCATTTTACGATGTTCTTTAATATCCCTTTATTCTTAAATGTTCATTCAGCAAGGACTAGATTTTAAGATTTCTGCCTTTGATTGTTATATGTGGCTGGAATGGAATTTTGTGACTTACTGATGGGAAACAAGTTTTAATCATTAATTCTATGTTTTTTTTTTCGAACAAAAATGAAAATATAAATAACGATCCTTTTTTTATACATTTTAACTTCACGCTATTATTAAATGGTATTTTTTTATTTTGACAGAATAGGCTAATTCTTCAATGACAACTTATTAGACTTAGGCAACTTCTTATACATTTTCCAGTAAATACTGTTGCCTGCCTATATTTTATTATTGATTTTTAATGATTATACATAATTTTCTTTAATTTAAGCGATAAAAATATAGAATAATAATAAATTAATGTTTTACTTGTTTTACAAATCCATATACTTTTATTAAAACTAACATATATACTTTTTAATTAGGAATTCTATTAAAAATTGTATTCGTCAGTATACACAGAAATAGTCCATTAGTACCAAAACGAATTGGCGCTGCTGTCGCGCACAGAGCGAATACTCAGACATTGCAATTAATCAAATTCCAATATTTAATTTTAATAGCTCTGTTGAAGTAAACTACTATCGAATTGAAGATAATGGTATTGTTAATCGTGTTATGAATTTACCATGGAAACTTACAGCTGGCCCTGATGCAAAACCTCTATGTTTTCTTTTTAACTTATCGATTGATAGTTATTTGCGTTTAACAGGATTCAATATGTTAAATATGGCAACTGCAAATCGAATACAATTACAGTATCTTCAGGTGTACCGCAGGAATCTCATTTGGGACCGTTGTTATTTAATTTACTTATTAATGATCTTTCTAGTGTCATATCTAACAGTAAATATCTCATGTTTGCTGATGATGTGAAAATATTTAGATCAGTTTCGAATGAAACGTTGGTGTGATGTAAATGTGTTGTACTTAAATGTTAAAAAATGTCATCAGTTCACCTTTTTTTAGAATTACCTCTCCAGTTCACTATTCATACATAATTAATAATTGTGTGCTACAAACTAAAGACAATGTTCGCGATTTGGGAGTTATTATGGACAGTAAGCTTTCCTTTAACACTCACATTAGTCAAATAACCTCTAAGGCATATTCCTAAAGTCCGACCGAAGCTTCGGCCACCTTCGGCCAAAAAAAGCACATTCGGCTTCGGCTAAAATCAGCCGAAGGTTTTTGCCGAAGCCGAAGATCTGTGTCCAGCCGGCCAGCCGCCAAAACTATACGAAATAAATATTACGATTTACGAATGACGCCGCCCGCATCACGAGGTAACGAGTCGTTACCTCGTGATTTTGGTTATTAATTTTATTATTAAATTGTCCATAATTATTTTTTTTATGGTTTGTGATTAGGCACTAATGTTTCTTATATTTGAAATACTTTAGCTCAGTTTTCTGAGAAAACCAGTTTTGTTTGTACTATGGTACGTTACTTTTGTGTTATATTTAATATATATACAGGGTGTCCCGAAATTAGACCGTCATATTTTAACAGCGTAATCTACATCCTAAAATAGGAGTAAAAAGTCATATAAACATAGGTCCGAAAACGTTTTGTTTCTGAGATACAGGATGTTAAAAGTGAAGTCCTGATGACACATTTTTGTAAGTATTTTCTGAACTGTTAAAAATAACTAAGTGAAATTTGGCACAAATGCTTACCCTTTTACGCTCTATTTAATGGACTAAACCCCAGTTTTTATCATCTTCATAGGTGGGTAAATTAGGGGGTGCTTAAGGTAAAATGGCCCTAAGTTTTTTTTTTGTAGACAGTTTTTAACATTTTTGACTATAAAATTTGGAAAACCAATGTTTTCTTTATAATAAAGCTGCTTTTGTTGCATCTCGCTAGGACGCACCATTTTCAAGAGAAAAGCATTAGAAAATTTCATGATAAGTTGATGTTATCTTATTCGAAAGTGTAAACAATAATTAGTAAGCCTGTGAAATCAAAAATTTTATTTTTTTTTAATTTTGGAAAATATTTACAAAAATGTGCCTTTAGGACGTCACTTGTAACACCCTGTATCTCAAAAACGAAAATTTTTCGGACCTATGTTTATATGAACTTTTACTCCTATTTTATGATGCAGATTACGCTGTTAAAATATGACTGTCTAATTTCGGGACACCCTGTATATATAATTATAGATTGTCAACAATATATAAAACACAATTTACATCGGTGTATAATAATTTTTAGTTTGGTTAAGTAATGTTTTGAAATTTTAAGTCTTAATAATAAACCTTCGGCTTTGGCTACAGCCGAAGGTTACGACAAGAGCCGAACAATCGGCTTCGTCTTCGGCCAAAAACTGACCCTCGGTCGGACACTACATATCCATGTGCAGTTGATTAACTACCTACTTATATTTCTTGCTCTGTGTAAAATTAGAGTTATTTTAATAACTAAACAAAATTAATTTACAGTGACTGTTTTGAAGTGTTCTGTATGGTCCCTTGACTTAACGTAATTGAAAGTATGTCTAAAAACCTCCTCTTTGGATGATATAAGGTACTATCTGGTCTACATTATTCTAACCACAATTTTTTTTGGTTTTACTCGTGATTATTATTTCTTGGGTGTGAACCAACTGGACAAAATTATGCAAAATGCCTGATTCCTGTGCTAAATGCAAATAGAAAAAGAGAGATGAAAATCTTATTGGCTGTGAGGGACCTTGTGGTTCTTGGTTTCATCCTGAGTGCTATCTTATGGATAATAATAATAATTTTAAACTAATTGAGTTGAAAAGTATTTATTTTATTTGTAATTCCTGCAAAACAAAAATTGAAATTGTTGACAAGAAAGAGAATGAAAACCTGAAAAGGAAAATCGCTAATATCGATTCGAACTTTTCTAAACTTATTACCGAACAAGTTACCAGAGCTATCTTTGACCAATTCCGAGATGAGATAACTCAAAAATTAGAATCCTGTTTTGAAGCTATTCAAGAAAAGATTAAAGACGCAATTTCTACAAATTCTTCAAATATATCTGAACCTTCTTATGCCAATGTTGCTTCTCAATCCAAGTTTATTCTGCGGCCAAAAAACAATATAATCAGTTTCCACAACTAAATCCGAAATTTTACGTAATGTCAATCTGATGAATTCTAATATTGAGGTCTCGAACGTAACAGCAACACGTAATGGTGCATTAGTAATAAGTTGTAATAAAGAAGAAGACTCTTCCAAATTTTTGAGAAATCATTAATAATAATCTCGGTGATAAATATAATGTCAAAACAATATCTTCTCTTCATCCAAGAATTAAAGTGACGAACATGGCATACAAATTTGACGATGTGTCCTTATTGGACTACTTAAAGACTCAAAATAAATCATGTTTCAGTAATAATTCTACTTGTGAAATTGTTAATGTTAAACCTTATAAGAATAATGCTAAATTATTTCAAGCTGTCTTGTAGGTTGATTCTAATACGTATCAAACGGCTATGAAATTAGGCAAACTGGCTGTTGGATTTGATTTTGACTGTCTGGTATATAACTTGATACTTTTCAATGTTAATGAAAGACGTACGCGTTATGTTGAACTATTTTGTATACCTTTTCATCACACTAACTACGGACAAAATGAGATAATATCCAGAATTTAACGATTAGCTAACAAACATCAGAATATTGATATTGTCCATAATTCTCTTCCTGCTTTTAAAAGACATATAAAAAGTTAATATGTAATTGTTGAATATTTTTATTTTGTTATATATTTTTTATATTTTCTATTTTATTTTCTTTTTATTTATATTTCTTTTTTTACTTATTAGTTTATAACTCGCTGTAATGTCAGTCATTTTACATTTGTTATGGATCTTTATATACTAATCTGTAAAATGGGTTTTGACCCGTAAATAAATAAATAAAGAAGCCTGTATATCGGTGTGATCGCTACAAATTTGTTACACGCATTTTTAAACGGCGTACAAAAATGTAATTTTTTCATATATATATCGAGTCCAATGGACTTGTTTTGACCTACAATACATGGTAACTCCATGACCCAGCAATTTTGTACCCTGTAATTTAATAGTGCTTTTCTTTCAGAATTACGAAGCTGGCAAAACCTACAAAAGGACACTAAAAATCCAAAATGTCTCATACGAAACCAGAAAATTTAGACATTCTAATATAACCACCGAAGATGCTTACGATGCTCTATTATTCAGACTTACGCCCTTGATAGGAATTCAAAAAGTAGCAACCGGGCAATCGGTGACCATGCATCTTATCTTTACACCGGAAATTGACGCTTTTATTTTAGACGCGACGTTAGAATTTCTTTCTTTCGATAAAGAGACTCAAAGTCACCAGAAGTTCTTCGTCGATGTCAAATGCGTGCCCAAGATGATAGAGTTTACGATCAGCTCGAATGATATTTATTTCGGACAGGTTCCTTTATGGCAAAAAAAATCAGGATTTAAAACAATAACAGTAAGTGTGCGTTTATTTTTTGTTTTTCCGCGTTTATAGTTTTCCTGGTTTTCTGTTTTTCCTGGATTTCTGTTTTTCCTGGTTTTCTGTTTTTTGTGTTTTGTTTTTTACACGGTATGGTGCAAATTAAAGGAGTTTTTTTATTATTATTATTATTATGAGTTATTTCGAATTATATCGTAATATCCCGAAATATCTCGAGTTATAACGACTTATATCTAGTTATTTCGAGTTTTCTTGAGTTTTCTCCAATTTTCTCAGGTTTTCTCCAGTTTTCTCCATTTTTCTCCAGTTTTCTCATGTTTTTCATGTTTTCTCATGTTATCTCGAGTTTCCTCGAGTTTTCTTGTGTTTTCTCGCGTTTTCTCGCATTTTCTCGAGTTTTCTCAAGTTTTCTCGAGTTTTCACGAGTATCCTCGAATTTTCTTGAGTTATAATGAGTTATTTTCGTTTTTGTATTTTCCTTATTTTTTCTATTTTTTTTATTGAAATATTTTAATATTTCCAGCTATCAAATAACGGACACGTACCGTGCAGGGCAATTATAAAAAAAATTAAAGATCCTCTGAATCTAGAAGAGGATACGCAAGACGATGTTACCAGTTACAGCAGTACGGAACAAGCTTTGATCATAATTCAAGAAATATTAGAAGAATTGTTCGACAATCTCTCGAACCATTTCGAATTCGACAGCACTTGCATTAACTTGCCGAAAACGACTTCCAGGATTCTGAGGATTCAGATGAAGAACTTCGCATATTTGGGAGACTATATAGAAAAATACATTGTGGAAGTGTACGATTATGAACATAATTTCATTGGAAATCACGTAAGAATAACCAAAAAATACAAAAATCAAAACGTTACATTCTCAAGTGTTACAATATAGGATGTGGATATAGTCTCGTACGTGGGACCCGAAAATTACATCTGAAATCCCGCACGGGCGGAGTTAAATCGCGCGTTTGCGCGGTTCGGTTCTACAATTTCTAATGGGAACTGAAAATGCGTATTATCCGATTTAAAAAAATGTAAATACGGCAGTCGGTCTAGGTATTTAGATAGGTCCTATTATTAAACTCTTTGCATAGTAGCAGAGACAATCCAGCGAGACGTGTAACTCAATGTATTTTTTTTTTGTTCGGTAAAAGTTGTTTGGGCGATTGTAACCACAACCAGTCCATGATGGCGCCACTAGTAAATAGCGGAAAAATTAAAAATTATTTAGGGCGGGAAATTCAAACATGGATTCAGAAATAGTTTTTCTATACAAATTTACAGGAGAAACAAAAACTATTGTTTCACTGTATATTAAAAAATATAAAAGCTGCCAATAACATCAAATTTTTTATCATATAAATAATCATTTTAATAAAGTAAGTTTTAATCAGTTTAATATAAGCAGTGAACATAGTTTTTATTACTCTTGTAAATTTCCCTAAAAAAAACTTGAAAATTCTATTGATTATTAAATATTTTAACTTGGAAAAATAATACATCAAACTCTTTTCTATAAATTATATTTTTGTAAGGTACAGAAGAACAAACTACAATATTGCTACGTTTAGAAAGTACCTCGTATCATTTTGTGACAAATTACAAAGAAAGTCACAGTTGTTATACGGAGTGGCCCAATAGTCTGGAAACGGCTAATTATCTCGTAAATTGCTAATCCTAATTGTACAAAATTTGGGGTACACCAGATTTGATATTTGCAATGTTGCCTGATTTGCCGTTTCTCTTATATTATTAGTCACTTTGGTTTTTCAAATTCATCACCCTGTATATTCAGTCATTATTGGAATCTCCTATTCAATACATGTTCAACCATATGTAACACTTATGATTTTATTTAGTCTGGAAGGTCTTAAATAAATAAAAAAAATCATGGAGAAATGTGGTAGACGCATTCTACCATCGATTAGGGTACTGTCAACTCACAAATGGAGCACATTTTGAACACTTGATAAAGTAACCATTATGTTAAAAATCTGATGTGTCCAACACATGACTTTCCTATCTAGTTATTACAGGCTTTTTCCGGTTATTTTGTACAACCTATTGCAGCACCTCCATAAATGTTTAGAGTATAAAATAAATATATACATTTTCCACATGCATCTACCTCGAAACATTTTTCTATAGATATTCATTGAAAATGAAAATACTGAAAAATTTTAATTTAGCACTTTTCCTACAATTTTTCCATTACGGTCCATTTTAGAAAAATCATGTATAAACAAAAATTATAGAGATCGATATCGCAAACAACTTTTATTTCAACAATTTTCATAAAAATCCGAATTTTGCACATTTTGTTAAATTTCTCGAATACGGACCATTTCAGGAAATTTTGACATAAAGCAAAAATTACAGATAATATTAGAAATAACTTTTATTTGAACAATTTTTTTCTCCAAACATACATAACAGATATATTCCATAAAATATAAAAACGGCCCCCCATAAAGTACCCCCCCAGATGTTCCGACTTTGTCCAAAATCTAATCATTTCACGTCAGGCCGAAATATAACTTAAGTTTAAAATTTAATGTTTTTTCTTTATCCGTTTTCGAGTTTTCTTCAAAATTCAAAATTTACACATTATCTCGAATACGGTCTGTAATAATTCTAGGTTCTTTTCCTTAATTTTAGCATTTGTAGAATAAAACATTTGATTAAGTTTATACCAGCCCTTTATTACATAATAAAATTATATACCTTTTTTACATGTGTATTATAAGGTTAATTAAATACTACTCAATAACTAACAGTCAAATATCGCTTCAATAGATCATTTGCTAGCTAAACAGAATTGGACACAATGAACTTTAGAATTAATGACATTGCATTATTTGTATTGGATAACAACTAATTATTATTTTAATAAAATGTAAAATATAATGAAATAACCTATTGAAGTTCATCGAACTGATATTCCTTTATTACAGGTCCATTATAGAGAAATTATGTATAGGATAAAAATTATAGAAAATTATATTACAAACAACTTTTATTTAAACAATTTTTATAAAAAATATTTTTTTTTACATTTTGTCAAATTTCTCGAATACGGACCATTTAAGAAAAATTTTGTATAGAACAAAATTAGAAGTAACTTTTATTTGAAGAATTTTCTTCCCCAAACGTAAATAACAGATATAATCCATAAAATATAAAAATGAACACATATAAAGTACCCCCCCAGATGTTCCGACACTGCCCAAAATCTAATCAGCACATTGGACGCTGGAACAAAGCTTAAGTTTGAAATTTGGTGTTTTTCTGTGTATCGGTTCAAGAGTTATGCGACACAAACACACACACACAGACATCATCACGAAAATAGTCGAAACGGATTCAGGGGACCTCAAAACGTAAAAATCTGTCGAAAACTCGAGGTCGAAAAAATCATGATTCCTATACTTTCCTTATATCTGTATACAGATAGGAAAGTAAAAATGTTATAATCTTTCAATTGTTACGTTTTAATGTAGTTGAAAATAGTTTGTATTAAAAAATGTATGGAAACAATTAGGCGTTGCCAGACTTATTTTATTTATTTAAGACCTTCCAGACTACATAAAATCATAAGTGTTACATATGGTTGAACTCGTATTGAATAGGAGATTCCAATAATGACTGAATATACAGGGTGATAAATTTGAAAAACCAAAGTGACTAATAATTTAAGGGAAACGGAAAATCTGGCAAAATTGCAAATATGAAATATGGAATCACCGTATCCCAAAATAGGTGTACCCCAAATTTTGTACAATCAGGACTAGTAATTTACGAGATAATTGGCCGTTTCCAGACTTTTGGGCCACTCTGTATATTCATAATATATTTAAAAATAATGTAACAAATATTTTATAAAGTATAGAGTTATAGAGTATATCGATACCTTTTTGCCAGACTATCATAAGTGCCATTTGAACAAATGTCGCCTATGTTAGTCTGGCAAAAAGGTATCGATATGTTATGACTATTTTAATAGAAACCATGGAAACGAAACAAACACACACATACACTCACACAAATGTATAAGGCCCGAGTCGAGTAAGTTCCCATCCTGTAAACTAGATCGAAACCTGCTAGACCCATTCCGTACACCCCCCTGCTAACTCCTCTTAGGGTCATCAAGATCAATAGATTTATATGCCATGCCTTCTAAAATGGAATGAAGGATGTACTATCATCATTTAAACAGGACGCTTACCCCTGTTATGTCGTCTGTTTGTGTATCTTGTGCGTGTGCATTCCTGTTGTATCCCCAGTCATGTAAAAGTTTTCCTAGTCTCCTAATTTGGTGACCTTCTCCAACTAGTCGTCTAATCCATTCGATCTGCTCTGCAGTAAGAGGTACTTCTCAAACATAGCAAATAATAATATTAATAATAAACACTATTTAAAGATGAATACATTTTTATAATTTTTTTGTCGTTGTCCCTTACCAAGGTATACCTATTTTCCATACTCCCTTAATTATAGATTACCTTACGATGTTTGAATGAATATAACATTTTACCCATGAAAAATCTAATTTCGAATTTAACTCTTTTTCCCTTTCATTTGAAACAATTGGTATATTACAATTTATTATCAAGCAAATCTTCTAATAAGGTTATAGCAGATCCTACTTAAACTATTGAGATTGAGATTGATCTCTCTCTAAAATCTAAAACCGACCTGATGTCCCCAAATTTATTTTCCAATGCGTCCTGATTTAAAATTCTGCTTTTCTGTGATTCATTTTTGTTTTCTTCCTTTAAATGACTCTACACTCTTCTAAAAGCCACTAGACTGGCTATTAGAGGTGGGTGTATGTAAGAAATAGCCAATCTCTAATCATTTCAAAAGTCCTTTGCCAATACTACATGTGCAGAGATTTTTTACTCAGCATACATTTTACTTCTTTTCTATAGTAGGTGGGAACTTTGTGCTGCCATTAAAGCTGTCCAGACATGCATCTACCTTAATAAACAAAAGTAGCTGTAACAATGGATCTCTGTTCCAATTCACCTAAAATAATTATAGCCATTTTGTAATATATTATTAAACACACACATTATACAGTGTTTTTTTTTATAAATTGGAAGTTACTTACCTCTAGAAAGCAACGTGTACAAAAACACGAGTTTGGTTCCAGAAATTGCTTCATGCAAAAAATAATATGGGAAAATAAACATTCCCCCCCCTAAAGAAAATTAAATAAACAACAAAATCAGACATCGTGGTCAAAGAACCAGCAACATCAGCGACCTCTAAGATTGGCGTTAGTTTTATTGGAGAGAGATAAATATATGTAAAGATCAATGTAAAAGAGAAAGAAAGTCATATGTAATTTAAATGGACCACCGAACAAAATTTCCTATTAAGTTACACGTCTCTGTTGTCTCTGATAGTAGTTTGTGAAGAGTCGCGGAAAAAATGTGACTAGAAAATTTTACTACAATGTTGTAGTAGTAGACTTGTAGAAAAAACTTTTTGTAGAAAATTTTACTACAATTTATAGTTAAAAACTATTAATTATTGTAGCAATTGAATTGTCTAATAAAATGCTACAACAATAGAAAAGAAGAGCACAATGTTTAATATATTTTACTATTGTTTGTAGAAGTAGAAATTTATTACAATTATCGTAATCGTAATTACTACTACTACCTTCTGTAAATTTTTTTACAAATATTAATAATTATCTCTACAAAAAATAGTAATACTTTACATCCCTTCTTATGAAAAAAATTCAATTTTGTTCAAAAATATTCTATAATATTGTAGAAATTTTAAGTCATGTGAATAAAACAGAATTCTGCTATTGGCCAACGTTTTCTGACGTCGACCATAAATGGCCAGACAGCAGTAGCCGTTCGCCATGTTCACAAAACAAAGCATGGTACATATATAACACATTATTATATTATAAGCACCGATGCGTTTGAGAAAATTTTAATAACAACTTCTATTAGTGGTAAGTACATTTATTATTGTTTCTGAATAATTTACCTTTAGATAACTAATTTTAATAACCTTAGTATTGATATTGATCAACAAAACAAATGTGTAAGTAACAGGGTAATACAACACGCATTGATACAAAACACTAAAACAACAATAATAGAACAGAAGTAAAAGTTGGAAATGCTTTTGCCAGTTCTCCCACTTTATACACATAACTTGACAGGTTGTCAGCGGATCTAACCGAAGTGGACACGATACATTGGCGTACAAAATTATTTTATAGATGTTAATAACAATTTCGAGTAAATAGTTTAATAAATTGTGAATAGCTGTTGAAATTTTGTAAAATTATAATTTGAATATTATAATACATGTTTAATAATTATTTATAATCCATAAATACATGCGATTGTCCGGTTCCGCCGATAACAATTTAAAATTACTTATTCTATGAAACGACACTGGCAGGTAAACATTACTGTGAAATTCTCGGAGCCGCCCGACGTGGTTTGACGTTTACCCCCTCTCTACCTACCAAAAGACTTTTCAACTTTTACTTTCTCTATACCACTATCACTGTTGAACACTGAAGAATGAAGACCGCGCAAACGCGTGACGTGATTAAACTCCGCCCATGCGGGACTTTAGACGTAGTTTTCGGATTCCACGTACGGGACTATATCCACGTCCTACAATATACAGTGTGTCCGTAAAGTATGGAACAAATTCATTTTTAGCTAAACAGACCATTTTAAGAAATAATCCTGGAACACGTCGATTTTTTATTTTAATTTACCGTATTTTAAAATAATAATCTAATATACAGGGTGAATTACTTTCGAGTAATGACGTCACCGTCATTTTTTTTTAAATGGAACACCCCCATTTTGTCTCAATTTTCGGATTACTCTAGCTGAGCCGATTCCAAAAATGTATCACATGTTGATTCCAATTGGTACAGGGTGGGCAAAAATACAATAGTTTTGTGTGTGCTCATAAAGTAACGCGTAACATTCTTTATTAGTTAAATTAACAATATTATCAAAAATACTTATTGTCTAGCGGACAGAATATGATGAAATACATGACTTTATAAATGTTCGAACTGCAGCCCTTGCTGTATTTGACAGTAACCCAAACGGTGTACAAATTCTTGTTGAACCTTGTTTATTGTGTCTTGAGAAATATTGTTTATTGTTGTCCGAATTATCTCTTTTAATCCTTGAATATTTGCTGGTTTCGTTTGATACACAACATTCTTCAGATGGCCCCACATAAAATAATCCAAAGGATTGAAATCTGGTGACCTCGCTGGCCATTCGATAGGTCCACCAATCCACCTGTTCGGAAAAATTTCATCTAGGAAGTTCTAACATCTACAGCTTAATGTGGAGGTGCACCATCCTGTTGAAACCATAAACTTTCATCACAACCTTCAGGATTACATCTGCTGGGAAACAAATTACGTAAAGTAGGTACGAGATACCTCCTTAAAAACTCAAGGTACGTTGCCCCGTTTAAATTACCTTCGATAAAGTAGGGTCCGATGATTCGATTTCTTACAATTCTAGTCCATACATTTACCTTTTGCGGGTATTGTGTATGATGCTCACGCATCCAGTGGGGGTTTTACTTTTGCCCAGTATCTACAATTCTGACGGTTAACCTCGCCATTTAACGTGAAAGTGGCCTCATCAGAAAAAATAATGTTTTGTATCAAGAGAGGGTCTCGGTGACATTTATCCATCATTTTTTCGCAAAATCGGATTCTCCTATCGGGATCATCTTCGTTTAATTCCTGCACAAGTTTGATTTTATAAGGATGCCATTTTTCAACCTTTAATAGTTTGTGTACCGTTGTTTTGCTAACACCGATATCGCGACTAACTTTACGCACAGAAGTGTGCGGGTCTTCTTCAAAACTAAGTAAAACATCTAATGCTGTATCAGCATTTGCAGAGAGACGACCTGATTTGCATACATTTTCAACCGTACGACTTTCTCGAAATTTCTTTTCAATCTTACTGACTGTTGAACGCGTTATAGGTCTTTCTGGATATTTATCATTAAACAAATTGCACACTTCCATCTGCGTTCGCGATCTGTCTCCATACCCAATCATTATAAGTATTTCAATTTTTTGTTTTACACTTAACTCCATTTCTAATTCAAATTAAATCTAAGCAATAATTAAAACATTCACGAATACCAAAAATATTGTAGTATTAAACTGTCACTGAACATCAATAAATTACTAAACAAATAATGACATTTCACAAAAAACTAGACTACTATGTTTTTTCAAAATTTATAAGAAATAATTTCTTTCATATTCTGTCTGCTAGACCACAAGTCCACCTTGTACCAATTGGAATCAACATGTGATACATTTTTGGAATCAGCCCAGCTAGAGTAATCCGAAAATTGAGACAAAATGGGGTGTTCCATTTAAAAAAAATGACGGTGACATCATTACTCGAAAGTAATTCACCCTGTATATTAGATTATTATTTTAAAATACGGTAAATTAAAATCAAAAATCTTACATCCGGTTTTGGGATATTCTTTGAAGTACATGTATAGCACACTCTTTAGAAGTACGACAAAGAGGTGGTAATTTTTGCATTAGTGTACAAGTTCCAGATCAGAAAGAAAAATATTTTTGCGGATCTTTTTTTCGTAAACATGGGCGGAAAACTTAAAAACGTAGATAAACATGAATTTATCTATACTGCTGTGTTAATTCAAATGGCCGTATCTGTTTAATACATGAACGAGAGAAAAATTGACTTTCCAAGAAAAATCTACGCCCAAATTTCTAAGCGTTAAATCTCTAATTTTATAAAATATATATCCCTGAAAATTATAGAGATGAACAAAAATAGTATATTACATTACGAGTGTGGAAAGTGACATTTTTCACACGAGTGAGAAATATTGTCGCACGAGGTGCAAGCCGAGTGCGACTATCACACGAGTGTGGAAAAACACTTTTCACACAAGTGATGTACAATATTTTTCCTACGACCACAAAATAATGTCATCAAAAAATGTAAAACCAAGGTTATTATTACTATAAAAATTAAAATGTATTTAAAAAAATAATCAACAATAATCGTATTTATTTAATTTTCATATTTTCTAACCAAAAAAAAAAATAAAAAAAACGAAAAAAAAATTTCTGCCCCGGCTGGATTCGAACGCGGTCTCAAATAGCAAAGTTGATAAGTTAGATGTTCTAACCACCTGAGCTAATAGCCCTTGTGTCAATTGAATGACCTAATCGGTTATGTATTTAACCAGAATAAAGAACAAACATTATTTTAAAATTATTTTAATAATAATTGTTAAAGATAAATATCTAGGATCTAATTTACAACAATTTCAATAATTTAACAATCATCGATTTTAGTATTAATATGGACATTAGATAGATCAAAATAGAAATTAGGTGTTTGACATTTTGTGACAGCTACTGCGGAAAGTAACATATTCGTACACGGGTGGAAAGTAATTCTTATTTATACGCGTGTGATATAGGGCACTTTCCATAGGACTATATAGTGTGATATGTGTCACTTTCCTAGGTGGTCGTAGGAAAATTCATTGTTGTCAAGCGTAGTGGCCATATCTTTATTTCAGGGAAAATTGCAGTTACGGCCATTTGAATTAACACGGCAGTATATATCTCTAGTTAATAGGGGGATAGTGTTTCTTATTATGCTCACCGTATTTTTAATAGCTATTAATTTTTTAGGAAATCGTTCTTCACGGTGAAGTAATCGGCCATTTCATACGCACGAGGCCAGAGGAAATAGATTTCGAATTTTGCATGTACAACTCTGTGTACCAGGTTCCTCTGGAGATAGAGAACACATCAACCAGTACTCAAGCTATAGCTATTAAATTCCCGTCAGCTTTGACCGAACATTTCAGATCTAACGTCGCCAACGTATTCCTATCGCCTGGTTGTTTCAGAACTGTTTGGGTCAAACTGTTTCCGAGGCATGCGTCACGTGTTCTATTTTATTTTCATTTTATTCATTCCAATTTATTATTTTAGAAAAACAATTCTTAAATGTCCTTATTACAAACCCGAATTATCAATATTGGAATTCCCTGTGTACATTTGCATCTTGACCAATAATTACGCAGACGTTGCTCCAGTTAAAATTATGGCCTACGCTATCATAACTTCTTCGAATATTCTCGATATTATTCCCAACAACAAGAAATTTACGAGGTATTGCTCAGACGGTATATTTTTGAATCTTGGACATTGTACAGTGAATGAAACTGTCACTACTGATATTGTTTTGGAGAATAATTCGTTAGCGCCACAGGTTTATGGATTTGTAGATTTACCAAAGGTGAAAATTCTGATTTATTTGTTTTAATAGTTTCTCTCCCTTACACTTCGTAATTTTTCTGCACATGAATCCACTCATATAAACTTTTTTCTAGTGCTTAACCATTATACCTAACTACGGTTTTGGATCGATTCCATCTGGTACGAAGAAAACATTAAGTCTACATTTCCACCCGGACTCTCAGGATCTTTTAAAAAAGTTCAATGAAGAAAAGTGCAAAGATTTCAATATGAAATTCAAAATCACCGTTGACACATTATGCAACATTCGTCAGACAATTAAGGTTATAGTTTGATTACTCTACCATTCAGTACTTGTTTTTCTGTTATTTCGATTATTTGTTGTATGTCTTTAATTTTATATTGTTTTAGAAAGTGGATGCCAAGAAACTCCGCAAAACTATATCCTTAATGATCAATGAGTTAAGAAAACCAGAAAATAGGCAATTACAACAAGACATTCGCTATTGTCAGCAAACTATTAAAATAGTATTATTTCCAAGTACAGAATATGCGTCTCCTTGGGATGCAGAAGAAATAGAAATGCCCGAGCAAGATAGTAAGTCAATATAATTTTCACTCTCTAACTTCTATTTCTACTTTAACTTGTAGAAACAAATATTGACGTCGTCGCCGTAGAAGAAGAATACTGCGAAGACGGCGAGAGATACAATCACTCCACTGAAGCCAACGCAACAGGCTTGACCTACACTAACATCACTTTGGAAGCAAAGGTGGTCAAACCATTGATTGAAGTGTCCGCTCAATACATCGTACTTCCCGACACACCCTGTAGTTCCTATTCGGTCATCGATTTTGAGATCAAGGCGCTTCGTATGGAATTTAATGAAGAAACTCCATGTTTAAAGAACAAGGACCTCAAGTTACCGAAATATGAGGCTTGGTACAAGATCACCGGCGATAATAAACAGATAAGGGTAGAACCCAGTTGTGGAATTTTGAAAAACGGCGATGTAAGTAGTGTAAGGACGGGTTCTATTTTAAATAAAAAAGGTATATTTAGTCTTAAAAAGTCTACAACTGGTATAGTCCATACAAACAATAAGTCAACTACAAAGTAATATCGATAATGGAAGAAAAAGTTCGGCTTCCATCTGAAGATGCTTCAAAAAAAAATTAACTAAATGAATACATCAAAAAAGGAGTCTTTACCAAGAGTATGTCATTGTTATGTCCATGGACGATAGTAATACACTCATTATCAGAGATAACGGAGATAAAGATAGGAAACGTTCATAGGAAGCCAATGCTTAACAACGACCACCTTTAACTCAGTTAACATCTGACCCACTATGTGGTGCTTTTATCTATATCAAACAACGCAGCGGGAAATTTAAAAACCTGATAATAAAGGTTGTATAAATATCGACTGCACTCTCATGTTCTTGTAAATAAATTTAAACAATGTAATTACGCTCAATTATTTATTAAAAAGAATATTACACTTACAGTATATTATCGATTAATTATTGTAAATCTATATTCATGACAATTTTTTTTAATTTTTGATCGCTATTTGTAACATTACTTTTTTGTTTTTATTTTCCAAACGAATGGCCAATGGTGTCTTATTTAAAAATGTTTAGGGCAAACTCAATAATGGGAATTCAGATATTTTTCTTTCTATATCGAGTCTTCTTTCTAACGTTTTGAAACCATTTTCTTGTTCTAAAACAATAAATAATACATACTTTGTGACAAAAGTTGGTTACTATTTGTGTTACTTACATGATTAGATCTTACTTTGGTTAATTAAAGAACGCCACATTGGAGTTGTTAAATTTATTCTTGTGGCATGTGTTACTAATGAAATACGTTCTCCGACTTATTGTAATATTACAAAATATAATTATTGTCCTCAAATTTCACACAAAAACACAGCCGCAACTATTTCGATTAGTTCATCTAGAGCAGCGTTACTCAAAGTGTGCCCCGCAATGCCTTTGTGGGGGCTCCGAGAAAAAAATAATAGTCATAATGAAAAAAAAAAGAAGCAGTACTATCGCTACAAAAGGGGGGACTTGGCTTGAGGAGTCACTAAGAGGAAGGAGGGTATGATTTAACTTCAGGACTTTTTTTTAGAAATCACTAGGAGGAAGGAGGATATGATTATTTTTTAGAAATGTTTTTAGGGCTCCGTCAAATATTTCGCTTTTCAAAAAGGTTCCGTCGCTTAAAAAGTTTGAGAACCACTGATCTAGAGGATAACTTCATTTTATGAACCGATATACCAGTATGAAGCGCTGCTGTAGAAATGTTTTCGATATACCCCATTTTTAACAAATTTTTATAACCAAGAAACAAATTGCTCAGACAGCTCATTTAAAAAGAATTTATTTTTTATTTTCGCAGGCACTGCATCAGTTTCTCCATTACGTTTGATGTACTGGTGCTCGGAATACTATCTCACGGTCTCCACATACACATAAATATAAACGAATAAAAAGTTAAAATTACTAACCTCCAAAACACAAACTAATTATTGATAAAACAAAACTGAACACTAATAAACAAAAACTATTAATATTCTATAAAATTTTAAAAAGTACGATGCAGGAGCTGTTAACCGTACAAATTTCAGCAGGTCACTAAGGTGAACAAAACTCAAAGGAAAGTAAAAATAATTATTTTTATTCAAATTTCCTTTTCGGCATTGGTTAAAAATTCCGCTCTAAAAAGAGTTGCAATACTTTTTAAACGGACAAAGACAATATGCCGACGAAAACAATAGCCGTCAAAGGCGAAACACCGCCAAAAACAATTTACCTACAGAGGCAGTATACCGACAAAACTGTTCACGCTTCTTGGAGAAAAAAGGCAAAATTTTATCTAAAACACTGAAATCGTTGAAGGAAAACATCAGTTATAAATCCTAATTATTTTATTCTAATTATATATGTTTATAAAAAAATTACTATTTTAAATCTCCAAATCGAAAGAAACATAATATGTACATATAATTAAATTATTAAATAAAATTTCAAGTAAAAACATGTATCTCCGTCTATGGGCGGTCTATTAAAGAGTTAGTTTATTTATTCATTCATTCATTCATTTATTCATTTATTCATTTATTCATTTATTCATTTATTCATTTATTCATTTATTCATTTATTCATTTATTCATTTATTCATTTATTCATTTATTCATTTATTCATTTATTCATTTATTCATTTATTCATTTATTCATTTATTCATTTATTCATTTATTCATTTATTCATTTATTCATTTATTCATTTATTCATTTATTCATTTATTCATTTATTCATTTATTCATTTATTCATTTATTCATTTATTCATTTATTCATTTATTCATTTATTCATTTATTCATTTATTCATTTATTCATTTATTCATTTATTCATTTATTCATTTATTCATTTATTCATTTATTCATTTATTCATTTATTCATTTATTCATTTATTCATTTATTCATTTATTCATTTATTCATTTATTCATTTATTCATTTATTCATTTATTCATTTATTCATTTATTCATTTATTCATTTATTCATTTATTCATTTATTCATTTATTCATTTATTCATTTATTCATTTATTCATTTATTCATTTATTCATTTATTCATTTATTCATTTATTCATTTATTCATTTATTCATTTATTCATTTATTCATTTATTCATTTATTCATTTATTCATTTATTCATTTATTCATTTATTCATTTATTCATTTATTCATTTATTCATTTATTCATTTATTCATTTATTCATTTATTCATTTATTCATTTATTCATTTATTCATTTATTCATTTATTCATTTATTCATTTATTCATTTATTCATTTATTCATTTATTCATTTATTCATTTATTCATTTATTCATTTATTCATTTATTCATTTATTCATTTATTCATTTATTCATTTATTCATTTATTCATTTATTCATTTATTCATTTATTCATTTATTCATTTATTCATTTATTCATTTATTCATTTATTCATTTATTATTCATTTATTCATTTATTCATTTATTCATTTATTCATTTATTCATTTATTCATTTATTCATTTATTCACTTATTCATTTATTCATTTATTCATTTATTCATTTATTCATTTATTCACTTATTCATTTATTCATTTATTCATTTATTCACTTATTCATTTATTCATTTATTCATTTATTCATTTATTCATTTATTCATTTATTCATTTATTCATTTATTCATTTATTCATTTATTCATTTATTCATTTATCATTATTCATTTATTCATTTATTCATTTATTCATTTATTCATTTATTCATTTATTCATTTATTCATTTATTCATTTATTCATTTATTCATTTATTCATTTATTCATTTATTCATTTATTCATTTATTCATTTATTCATTATTCATTTATTCATTTATTCATTTATTCATTTATTCATTTATTCATTTATTCATTTATTCATTTATTCATTTATTCATTTATTCATTTATTCATTTATTCATTTATTCATTTATTCATTTATTCATTTATTCATTTATTCATTTATTCATTTATTCATTTATTCATTTATTCATTTATTCATTTATTCATTTATTCATTTATTCATTTATTCATTTATTCATTTATTCATTTATTCATTTATTCATTTATTCATTTATTCATTTATTCATTTATTCATTTATTCATTTATTCATTTATTCATTTATTCATTTATTCATTTATTCATTTATTCATTTATTCATTTATTCATTTATTCATTTATTCATTTATTCATTTATTCATTTATTCATTTATTCATTTATTCATTTATTCATTTATTCATTTATTCATTTATTCATTTATTCATTTATTCATTTATTCATTTATTCATTTATTCATTTATTCATTTATTCATTTATTCATTTATTCATTTATTCATTTATTCATTTATTCATTTATTCATTTATTCATTTATTCATTTATTCATTTATTCATTTATTCATTTATTCATTTATTCATTTATTCATTTATTCATTTATTCATTTATTCATTTATTCATTTATTCATTTATTCATTTATTCATTTATTCATTTATTCATTTATTCATTTATTCATTTATTCATTTATTCATTTATTCATTTATTCATTTATTCATTTATTCATTTATTCATTTATTCATTTATTCATTTATTCATTTATTCATTTATTCATTTATTCATTTATTCATTTATTCATTTATTCATTTATTCATTTATTCATTTATTCATTTATTCATTTATTCATTTATTCATTTATTCATTTATTCATTTATTCATTTATTCATTTATTCATTTATTCATTTATTCATTTATTCATTTATTCATTTATTCATTTATTCATTTATTCATTTATTCATTTATTCATTTATTCATTTATTCATTTATTCATTTATTCATTTATTCATTTATTCATTTATTCATTTATTCATTTATTCATTTATTCATTTATTCATTTATTCATTTATTCATTTATTCATTTATTCATTTATTCATTTATTCATTTATTCATTTATTCATTATTCATTTATTCATTTATTCATTTATTCATTTATTCATTTATTCATTTATTCATTTATTCATTTATTCATTTATTCATTTATTCATTTATTCATTTATTCATTTATTCATTTATTCATTTATTCATTTATTCATTTATTCATTTATTCATTTATTCATTTATTCATTTATTCATTTATTCATTTATTCATTTATTCATTTATTCATTTATTCATTTATTCATTTATTCATTTATTCATTTATTCATTTATTCATTTATTCATTTATTCATTTATTCATTTATTCATTTATTCATTTATTCATTTATTCATTTATTCATTTATTCATTTATTCATTTATTCATTTATTCATTTATTCATTTATTCATTTATTCATTATTATTCATTTATTCATTTATTCATTTATTCATTTATTCATTTATTCATTTATTCATTTATTCATTTATTCATTTATTCATT